CAAAAAGGTCATGTGAACACACAGCAAGATGGTGGCCTTCTATAAGCCAGGAAGACGGCCTTCACCATGCTGGTACTCTGATCTCAGACCTTTGGCCAGCAGAACTGTGAGAAAATAAATTTTCGTTGTTTAAGCCACCCAGTCTATGGTATTTTGTCATGGCACTTCAAGCTGACTAAGATATTTTGTTTTTCAGGGAGTATTTTATGAGAGTGATGTTCAATTAAATAAAGCTAAACATGCTGATTTAAATAAACATTTTTTTCCAGTAATGCTTACACAGGAATAAATCAGATATTTGATTGGCATTTGTTTGATAACAAATAAATTTCGTCAAAAGAGCAAAGAAATTTAGCATATTTCAAATATATAACAATATTCTTATTCTTAAGTTTTATTCCTACTACTACCATTTTGGATCGAACAAGATAGGTATGTGGTATGTGAAAGTAGTTAATGTTATTTCCAAATAATTCAATGCCTAGCACCCTAGGGAAACCTTACTGAGAGGGGCTAAAGCTAACTTAAGAAGATGTCATTCTTATCCCAGATCTACTAACTATTAATATATATTTCAGTTTCTTCATCTGATAAATAAGGATAAAATTTACTTCTCCTGCTATTTACAAAAAGTGGTTATAAACATTAATAGATGTAAAAATACTGAAAAAATATAAATGCAAAATAAAATTTAAGATACAATGACGAATTCACAAATTATATAATTAGAGAATATCATTTGTCACTTCCTCATTTTGTAGATGAGAAAATAAATACTAGTTTAAAAGAGTAAGGCTCTAAGGGATGAGATTACCATAAGCATAATTTTTTTCTCTGACACTGAAATTATAGTTGTAATCTTTCAAAACAACATAGATTATTTACATATGTCCACATTTTAAAAATTAAGATGATAAATCCAATTTGAATCCTTAAAAAAAATCATCAGGCAGAAGAGTGATGATTATACTTACACTGATCTCACCGATTTACTTTCACGTTTCAAAGTAAGTAAATGAAACTTTGCTATTGTATACATCTGCTGTTTCCAAAGGCTCATGGTGCTCAATAAAGAAGCCTGGGTTTCAGAAAGAATAAGTAAGCTCTGCTCCATTTCATCAAAAGATTTTGAATCCATTTCTTCGTCTGGTGGCTGCTGAGTAAATACACTGTAATCTATTTGCCAAAACAAAGTAAAACAAAAAGAAAATTTTAGTATATTCCTTTAGAAAGATGAAAATCTTTCTGAAGCATGTAAATTTTAAAGAAGCACATGTTTTGGTGGTTATGCAGAACAAACGAAACTCTGATATTTTGGCAGTATCTATTAAAGTTTAACATACGCATAGTTTATGACCCAGGAAATCCCCATTAGGCACAAATCCAACAAAGGTATATATATAGGGTTAACCTAAACACATACACAAGAATATTCTTAGAAGAGCTCTACCCAGAATACTCATAAAACTGGAAAGAACCCAAATGTCTATAAACAGGTGAATGAATAGTGAGATACGCCTATAATAGTATAAAATAATAGAAATGAACAACTGTGTAGCTACATATAACAATATGGTTAAACCTGACAAACATAATATTGAGTAAAAGAAGCCAGATGCAAAAGAGACATACTGTATAGTTCCTCTAGTCCAAAAATGACCTGATGCATACCCATATTTAAGATCTTGTTATCTCTACAACTGTATAATATTCAACTTTTATGTGAACTTTTCCTCTGTGACTACAACCTAGCATATTTTCATCAAACACTTGACTTCTCTCTCATCTCCATGTCTAAGAGATCTCTCCTGGCTTTACTTGGTTTCTCTATTAAAATTTAGCTTCAGGCTCAGTTTTCAGCCAAAATCTGCCCTTCAACATGATCTGTAGTCTGTGGAAGAGTTAAGAGCCAAGTGCCTACTTCAATATCATTTCCTGGCATTCCTGAAGTTGTGCAGGGTCAATGGTAGTGTGATCATATAGATTATTGACATAACACTTAAAGAACACAGCAAACTTGGTAATGTAAATAAGGTCTGTCATTCAAATTACTTTTAATATTTAACATACATTTTCAATTACAGTTAAACATTCTAAATATATTGGGAATAAAAATTTCTTTATGTATTTTATGTTGAAATTCTACCAATTAAA